TACATACATACATACATACATACATACATACATACATACATACATTCATACATACACACACATACAGACATACATACATACATACATGCATGCCTGTCTGCATGCATGCATGCATACATACATACATGCATGCATGCATGCATGCATACATACATACATACGTACATATCTAGATATACATATATATATAGATATGCGCATATATATATATATATATATATATATATATATATATATATACACGGCGAATGCTGCGCGATGGGGTCTGAACTGCAGGCAGGGAGCCCGCCCTCCAGCCATAGTGACGTACCGTCCCCGCGTGCCGTGCAGTGCCGTGCCCAGGATCCAGACCTTGCAACATACACGCCGTGCCGTTCCGTGCCGTGGCCGCGTGTCGAGCCGTGCCGCGCTTGGGCTCTAGAATGCGAAGGATGCGCCGTGCCGCGCTTAGGCGCGAGAACGGGAGAACGTGCCGTGTCGTGCCTGGTGCAATGCAGCAGAGTGCGCCGCGTCGCGCCGTGCCTGCGTATCGTGCCGCGGCCACGCTTATGAATGCGATGACTGTGCCGTTCCGTGCCGCGCCCAGGTTTTAGAATGCAAGTTATTGACGTTTCGCGTATCCCCACCAGCGGCGCCGCAAGTGCGACTTCTCCCCCCGTTCCACCGCCGGTTACTGCGCCTCTGTGCCGGTCACCCGCTGACGCCGTCTGCGTTTCAATGAGAGGCATTTTGTTCCTTGCATGTGCATAAGCCACTGCGGCTAATTTACATCGTACCGCGCCCCGGACGTTGTGCCCGTTCCCTGGGTTTCTCCTTGGAGCCGCGAACCAAAAAAGTATCCCCACCAGCGTCAGCTCCGGCCCCTGGTCCCCCCAGCTCCATTGGCCCAACTCCATCGTGGGCGCATGGAGCCCCTGACTGCACGTGGTTCAGCCTGTGCTCTCCTGGCTCTCGGACGACTGTGTTGACTACGTCCACGGTCCCTGGCGGCGATGCCCACGGCACCCTCCTGTCCACATGACCTGGTGCCTGAGACGTGGATTGCCTTGGTCTTGGTCAGCTCTCAGACGTCGGCGTTCCTGTTCGAGAGTGCGCGCGGCTTTACCTGATCCGGTGGCTCAGGCGTGCTACGGTGTCGATTACATCCATCGTTGTCCTGGCCACTTCGCTCGTCCTCCCGGGATCACCCCGTGGACGGTCGGATGCAGGATCGGTATTCCTTTCAGAAGTCTTGGTGTGCGACATTGGTGGCGCCACCCTATGTACCAGTTTAGGGCCAGTACGATCCCCTGACAGCTGACGCAGTGTACTGTTGGTTGCCTTCCTGGCCACATCCTTGTACCACCCCCGCGCCATTTTGGCTGCGCTCCAACCCTGGCTGGTTAATCGCGCATGTGCGCGCTACTGGACCTGGTCCCTGGCAGCTGCAGCCCGCACCCCCCCTCACGCCGGCCCGTCGGCGTTAGGCAATTAGGCTCTTGCGCGGCCCGCTCGGACCTTACTCGCCGCTGGTGCCCTCGCCTGCGGTTGCGACAAAAAGTTACCCCCACCAGCCCATCCAGAAACGGATCGCCAGGCAAGTTGCCTTGATCGGCGTTTGATCGGAGGTCTCTTGGAGCCATTTTGGGGCTCTCTGAGGGTCCCTGCGGAATCTCTTGGGGCACTCTTGAGGCCTTCTTTCTTGGGGCTTTCCTGTGGCCTTCTTAGAAGCCATCTTGGGGCTCTGTGGGGGGTCTGGGAGGCCTCCTGGAGCTGATCTTCGGCCGCATGGCTCACATAGGAGGGGGGTCCTCAATTCAGGTCCCATCTCCCCCTCAGAGCCTCAAAAAGGACGTCTTGGGGCTTTTTTGGAGCGCTCTCAGGCGCTCTTGGGGCCCTCTTGGGCTCTCTTGGGGCTTTCCTGCGCCGTCTCAGGGCCATCTTGACGCTTCAAAAGCCCATCGAAAGCAAAGAAGCAAGAAGGCAAAAACTGTAGTGCCCCTGAGGTGTTTGAAGGTTGCTGGCCTAGACTACCTTGAGCCATCTTCGGATATCTTGAGCTTTCTTGGTAGCGACTTTTTAGGCTCCATGAGGCCCTCTTGGAGCCATCTTGGGCCATGTTGGACGCTCTAACCCCTCCGCCCCCCCCTCCCAGATCCAGGGGAGGGGGGAAAGGGGAGGGGTCAAGACACCCTCCCCGCCCGCAAGCCGTCTCGCTCACTCCCACCCGCCCTCCCAACGCGTAAGTTGCACCCCAGTCTCAGCATGTTCTGTGGTCGTCTTTGGATGGACAGTGACTGGGAACCAAAACCGACCCCATGTGCGCGACGTTGGGGCGAGGTTCACCTTGCGTGCCAGGCGCGCCACGCGCGCCAGGCACCACCTGTGGCCCGAACGTGACAGGCACGCCTGGTGCGCCAGGGGCGCCACGTGTTCCACGTGCGCCAAGTGTGCCGCATGTTGCAGTCGCGCCAGGTGTGCCACGTTCGGGGCACGTGCAGAGTGTGGTGACAGCACACATCGGGAAACATGTCGGTCCCCACCATCTTTGTCGAAAACCAATGCCCATCATGGTGGTGGGTGGGCACACAGCAGGCCATATGCCAGCACCCCGGCCATCCCTGGCCAAAGCCACTTGGCAGTGATCGCGGGGTGGCCGCGCCGGATCCAGATCTGACCGCGAAGTGCATGTTGTAGTGTGTCTTAATGCGGCTAGTGGCCGTGCACAGTGAGAAACCTCCCCCGAGCAGGGGAAGCAGGGGCCTCGGCAGAGAGCGAAGACGCTACTCGCTGGGCCGCCTGCGCCCAGAGGGCTGCTGGGGCGAATGTGCCGTGGCGTGCCGCGCGGACGCGCAAAGGTGCCAAGCCGTGCGTGGCGCGCCGTGCTGTGCCCTCACCGCGCTCGCTGGCTCCCGTGCGGCGTGGACCACGCCCGCACCACGCACGCCCCGTCGACGTCGACCGCCCCATCTGTGCTCACGGACAGCGCTGCTGTGCGGTGTCTCCCTGCACGGTATGATGGTTAGGCAGTGCCCCACCCTGGCAGGTTGAGGTGCCGTTCGATCTCAGGAAGGGCTCCCGAACCGCCTCGCCCACCCAGCACACCGCGGCTGGCAGGCCCAGATGGGCCCGCTGCTGCCCTGGGATCCCAGCTCGCGTTCTCGGGTACAGTCGGGCTGCTGTAATAAGGAACGCTGAATAGGAGCGAAGCCCCTCTGTGGCTGCAAAACAGCCTGGGTGCACGAAAAGTGCTAGAGGAACAACCGCTCAAGGACGTCAGGAACATCGAGCCCCTTCCGAATCCAAACTGTTCCTTATGTCAGCGTCTTGGCTGTAGGGATCGCTCGAAGCAAGACAGCGTTCGTGCAGACCTGCTCTTCATCTGCAGGCGCCCCTGCCGGCCCAGCCCGCGGGCACGGCGGCGCAGCGGCGCCCCAGCGCCGACGCCGAGGAGCTGCGTCGGAGCGCCGCGGACGCCGAGGAGCTCCGGGTCGAGCTCGAGGGTGCTCGCCTGGCCCGCGCCCAGGCGCTGGCCGAGGTCGCGGGCCTCCCCAAGTGGGGCCCGAGCGGAGATGCAGCGGAGGAAAGCGAAAGGTACCGATGCTCGAGGAAGAACAAGCTGTGTAAGCATGCACGCTCGGAGTTCCGCGCAGATGTCTGCTTGGAGCTGCGCTGGGTGCGCCTCCGGCGCCGATCCAAGGAATCCGCGTGGACTTCCGAACGTGTGTAGAATTGTTTGCGCCGTTGTTGCTCCTCTAGTTGCTGCTGCTCGTCCTGGAGAGCCCTCGTCGGCACGGCTGGATTCGCCCCGACACTCGGTTCAGAGCGCACCTCAGGTCCGAGGAGTAACAGTATCGGTATGGTTGGGGGCTCTCGATGGTGGGGTCCAAGGTTCGCGCCGCGTCGCCGATGCATCCGCGATGCGGCTCGATGTCGAGCCCGACCGTCTCCACGCGGACATCGCCGATGCATCGTGGGTGCGGCGCGATCATCTGAAACCATCTTCTCCTCCTCCTCCTCATCCTCCTCCTCCTCCTCTCTCCTGATCTTTCTCCTCCCCCTCCTCCTCCTCCTCCTCCTCCTTGAAAACTTGGCATCGGTCGGACGTGTGCATTTTTTGGCGAGAGCCACCGAGGAGCATCCTGGGTCATCCTGCAGAGGAACCCAAAAAACAAAAACAACCAAAACACGAAAACGAAACATGCACGGGAAATAGACGTCCGAGCGAGTGCAAGAAACCTTGCATGAGCATCATGTTGCTTCGAGCGATCCCCACCCGAGGACGCGAGGCGGGGTCCCCAGGGAGCACCGCAGCAATGTTGGGCCTGGGGGCCGCAGCATGCAGGGTGTGCGCGGGGGAGACCACATTCTGTCGGAGGCCCGCGCGGTCTCTTGGATCGGCGCTGGGCCCACCCCCTGGCGCGCGGAGGGCGCCAGGGGCGGCGCCGGAGGCGCCGACAGGGGTCCGGACCCGACCGAAGAGATCCGCACGGACCTCCGGACGTGGATTCCGCGGGCGACCTCCGCTCACCTGGCGTCGCTCGGAAGTGTGCATTTTTCCTTCGGCGAGGGCCATCGAGGAGCATCCTTGATCATTTGGCGAAAAAACCACGCGCGAAACCGAAAAAAACACAGGAAATGGACGTCCGAGCGATGGCGAGTTCATGAGCGCCGCTCTTGTGTTGCTCTCTGGGCCTCCGGGCGACGAACGTCGTCGTCAGGGCTCGAGCAGAACGGTGTTTGGGCGATCTCGTGGACCGTGTTCGCTCGGACCTCGTCCTGCAGCAACAGGGCGTCACGAGGACAGGGCGAGGGAGCACCGAACACGAGACGATGGCGAAAAAGCACTGTCTCGCTCGAGAGCCCTGGTCGTCGTGCCGCAGGGCTGGACCTAAGCGCTGCTTCGCTGGACCTCGGCTGTGCTTTGCTGTTCGTTTCAGCAGGGAGGCACAGGAAAAAAAGGGCAGAGCACAACGAGAACCAAAACGAGAACAACACGTAAAACAACGTTTAGGTTTAGGTCGGGCCTGTCCCCCTACAGGGGGATTTGGGGCGAAAACTTATGAGTATTCGAAAACAGACTCCCAGAATGCTGAAACATAGTCAAAGAATAGTCCCCCGGCTATGTTTTTTTGACAATTTCTGGACATCCCTCCTGTAGAGGGGCAACAGGCCCCCGACTGCAGTTTCGGTCCAGCCCTGTCGCGACGTGTGTCTTGCTGCTCCTCCTCCTCCTCCTCCTCCTCCGAGGTCGCCGAGCTGCGGGGGCAGCTGGAGCGCGCGGCGGGCCCTGGGGGGCAGCCGCGCGCGCCGCCGGCCCTCGCCGCGCCGGGGCGCCTCGCGCAGCCGCCGCCTCCGAGCCCGCGCGGCCTCGGCGCCGCGCGGCCCTCCGCGGGCTCGTCTTGGCGGCGCGCACGGGGGCGGCCCCGGCGTTCGAGTCGGGCCCGTCCCTCCTACGGGAGGAGGACACGTGGTTCGTGTCTCATTCTTCGGAGATTCTTGGATTTGTGGGGGGGGGGGCAAGATCCTCTCGTGTCCACTTCTTCCATCCTGGGCCTCTTCCCGGCCACTGGGGGGCCAGGAATTAGAAACGAGCACACTTAGAAATGAGCACGAGGAGAAATGAACGATGTGTTTTCAAAAATAGTCCAAAAATACCCTGGGGACGATTTGTGTTAGCATTTTACTGCCTTGGTGGAGCCTTGTTTGACTATCTTTTATTCAAATCGCCCGAAACCCGCCCGTAGGAGGGCATGCCCGACCTAACCCTACGTAAGATCTTGGCGCTGCCTCTTCTTCACCACGGACCCCGGGCCCGCACGGGTCGATTTGGCCAGAAGATGGCGCAGGGAGTTGTGTCTTCTTTTCTTTGAAGGCCAAAACAGCAGGTTCTCAGAGCCTGGCTTGACATCTTCTGGCTATTTTGGCGTGTGCGAAGGATTCCCAGAATACGGGTGTACAAAGAATGCCTTGTATGTTGCATTGATATGAATATGCTTGGCAAAAGACTCAGGGAGGTGGGGGGTCCGGGCTCTGCTCGTGGTGTGTGCTTTGCGGTGGTGCAGTTTGTTTGCCACGTTGGATCTTAGGCTTATGTCGGGCGTGTCTCCCTACAGGGGGATGTTCGACGATAAATAAAACAAATACTCCGAAAATGCCCCGAAAAGACGAAAAAATATTCCAAACATAGTCCCCAGACTTTTTGTTGGGTTATTTTGGGGGTACTTTTTATTTTTCGTCGAAAATCCCCCTGTAGGGGGACAGGCCCGACCTAATCTTGGGGGCGCCAAAGAGAGGCAGGCGGGGTGCCTCTCAGAAGGCGGGGGCCTTCTGTCTAGTGGCCTTCGGCCCATCCCGCCACCGTGCCCGGGTGGTGGGTCGGAGGCCTCGCAAGTGCAGGTTAGGGTGTCGTGGGGTACCTCTCGGGATCTTCTTGGAGTCAGTTTTGAGGCCTCTTGGGGGCCTCGTGGGGGCCTCGTGGGGCCTGCTTTGGGCCTCTCGGGGGCCTCTTGGGAGCGTGTCGGGGTCTCGAAATGCCAGCTTGGTTCCCCCATCTTGGACCCCTGTTGGGACCCCTTTGGGGCGGCTCTTGTGCCATCCTGAGGGCCTCTGGGGCCCTCTTGGGTTGTCTTTGGGCCCTTTGGGGGGGCCTCTTGGGCGGTCTTGAGGCGTTATTGGGGGCCTCTTGGGCCGTCTTGGAGCGTCGGGAAGCTGAAAAGCAGACACTAGAAAATCGCTCAGAAACCAAAGGAAACTCAATTGACTTACTTTTTGGGGCCCTCCTGGGGGTGCTCTTGGAGGCTTCTTATTAGGAATTTGGCGGCCTCTTGGGCCGTCTGGAGGCCATCTTAGGCATCTTGGGCCCTCGTAAGCCGTCTGGGGCTTTCTTAGCCAGTTTCGGGGCCCTCCTGAGCGAGGAGACCATCCCGGAGGCCCTCGCGGAACACCCCGAAAGCGCCCAAGAGCGCCCAAGAGCGCATGGGAAAGAGGGGGTCTGGTCCTCTAAGAATCTAGAAACCCAGCTGCAGCAGCAGCACAGTTGCGATCGTTACACTCCACTTCGTGCCAAGGCCACGGTGGCGGATACAGAGAGGCTCGGGAGTTTCCGAGAAGGCCTCTTTAGAAGCCGGGAGGGTCTCTCTCAGAAGCTCCGCTGGCATCTTAGAATGACCCCCCCCCGCGCGCCACCCCGTTCCCAGACGCTCGACGTCAGGATCATGCACGACCCGACCCCCAGGAGGCTGGACCCTTTCTCCGGGCCCGGGTTCTCATCCTGGGTCGTTTTGTGGACGGTCCCGAGGCCCCGGGAGGGGCTCTCAGTTGCCGAAAGCAGCGAAAAATTGCCCGCAGCCATTCTGTCACGACTCGAGGGGGGTCCGGACTGTGCACGCCGCCAATCGTCGCCGCTCGCAGCCGCCGCGCCGGGGGGTGCGAGCAGACCCCCGCCCTTCCCGGAGATGCGCGCCTGGGCGGCCGAGGCGGAGGCCTCCGCAGAGGGCCTGCGCGACGCGCTGCGGCAGCGGAGCGACGAGCTGGAGCTGAGCACCCGAGGAAGACGAAGCGGCACAAGCGGGCGGTCAGGACGCTGAAGCGAGGAGCAGCTCGGGTACGAAAGGGGCTCGATGCTCCCGAAGTCATTCTGTGGTTGTTCCTCTGGCCCTCCTCGTGCACGCTGGCGCCCCTGGGGCAAGAGAGGGGCTGCGTTCCTTGTGTACCGTTCCTCACTTCAGCGGCCCGACCGTACGCGCCAGTCTTTCAAAGTGGGTACACATTGTTCATTTCTAAGTACTCGAAAGTTCTTTGATTTGTTCGGGGGCCTAGATTCTCTCATGCCTAATTGTTCGATCCTGGGCCTCCTCCTGTCCACTATATGGGCGGCCAGGAACAGCTAGAAACGAGCACGATTAGAGATGAGCACGACTAGAAACGAGCGACGTGTATTCAAAAATAGTCCAAACATAGCCTGGGGACGATTTGTGTTAGCATTTTTCTGCCTTGGTGGAGCCCTGCTTGCTATCTTTTATTCAAATCGCCCGAAACCCGCCTGTAGGAGGGCACGCCGCCCGACCTTCGGAGGTCGGCGCGGCTCCTGCTCGGACCTGCGCTGGCCCCCCCCCCCCCGGCGGCGCCTCCGGCGCGCCGCCCCTGGCGGCGCCTCACGCGCGCCGGCGGAGGGGGCCCGGCGCCGATGCCAGCTCGGAACCTGGAGCACACACACACACACACACTACCAGTAAGTCGGGCCTGTCCCACTGCGAAAAATAAAAGAAGACCCCAACAATAGTCAAACACTAGTCCACAAAAATGGTCTGGGGGCTATGTTTTGAACATGGTTTGACCTTTCTGGGGCATGTTTGGGGTATTTTTTATTTCTCGTCGGAAATCCCCCTGTAGGGGGACACGCCCGACATAACACTACCAGTGGCGGGCTGTTTTCTATTGCCCGGATTTTTTCGAGGGTCGGAGACGACGTCGGGATGGTGCGGTGTATATTTGTTCCCCCGTGTTCTTGAGGAGACGGCGACGAATGTATACACCAGGGTCCCGAATACACCAGGACCCGCTTCCCTGTGCAGAGTTCAGTACAGGGCCAGACAGAGCGCCGGTGCACATATATATGATCAATATTATAACATACATATTATATATGTAGATATAATATATCTATTGAAAACAGATAGTTATAATATATTACATTATATTATATTATATATATATAAATATATATATAATATAGAGAGAGTGCGGCTCCAACAAGAGATCCGCGCGGACCTCCGAAAGTTTATGCCCAGGCCGCTCTCTCTTCCTCCGATCACGGCCCAGCTGCTGCGGCGGGGCCGCGAGGTATCCGAGGGGCTCGACGGGGGCCGCGGCGCGGCGACGCGCTGCGGCAGCGGAGCGCAGAGCTGGAGCTGAGCACGGCCGGGCTGCTGCGGCGGGGCCGCCGAGGCTTTCGATGGGGCGGGCGAGGACGGGGGCCACGGCTGCGGCGACTTGCTGCTGCAATGCAGCGAGGAAATTCACCAGAGACAAAGGTGCTACTACCACCGGCCAGGGGGGGGCTGTCCCACCCTCTCGAGCTGGTGGCACCTCGTTCCGGGCATGCCTCCAGAGAGTGCCCGGCAGGAGGTGCCACCAGCTCGAGGGGAGGGAGCGGCCACCCCCCCGCTGGTGGTAGTGGTGCTTCTTGTCTCTCCTGAGAGATGGGGCTGATCTCGGGGGCGCCGACACGGGGCGGGGGGCGGGCCCAGGGGGGAAGGCAGTGGCCCATGCATCGCCCAGAAGTCTGGGCCGGGCGCCCCTCCCCGCCCGGGAAGCGCGCGGCCTCGCCACTCGAGAGCCTGCCGCCGATGCATCGGCGCACCGCCGTGGCCAGGCTCAGTGGGCCCCCCCCCTCCCCCCCCCCAGAGATCCAACGCACTGAAGAAATCAAGACGGAGGTTTTTCTAATTTTTCGGCCTCGAGGGGGGCCCTCGCCGGGCCCCGGGACAGTGAAAAAACGACTCATGAGATAAGGAAGCCGGTCCCGGGGAAGGGGTCGAGACTTCCGGGGGCCCCGCATCGAAAAAAGCACGACGTCGGAGCTCTGGGCCCTGAGCTCAAGTCGGGCCTGTCCCCCCTACATGGGGATTTTCGACGAAAAATAAAAACAGACTCCCAAAAATAACCAAAAATAATCAAAAAATAGTCGGGGGACTATTTTTTTGATATTGTTTGACCTTTTCGGGGCAGGTTTGGGGTATTTGTTATTGCGCGTCGAACATCCCCCTGTAGGGGGACACGCCCGAAAGAACCCTGAGCCCTCCCCCCCTTGGCCCCCCCCAACCATCACCATCACGGCGCGGCTGCTGCGGAAGGGGGGCGCCCCGCCTCCGAGAGGCGCAGGCGCCGGGACCTCGACGGGGCGGCGCCGAGGGGCGCCGAGAGGCGGCTCGCCGCGGGCAAGCGGAGCGAGGAGCAGTTGCGCGGAGATCTCGCGGCCCAGCTGCCGCGGCGGCGCGCGGGGCAGCGGGGGCGCTCGACGGCAAGGGGCCGCGGCGCGGAGGCGCCTCCATGGCGGGCCGCGGCGCGGAGGGGGCCACGGGCGCAGGCCGCACCATGGCGGCCCTGCCCGCGCCGTGGCGCGGCTGGAGCAGCGCGGTGCGCCAGCGCGGCGGGTCGCGGGGGCGCCCCCCCACGCCGGATGGCGCCGCCGAGGGCGTGCCACGTGCTCGGCGGCGCGCTGCGAGTGCAGCGGGGCTCGGCGACGTGGAGCCCGGCGTCCTCCACGCCGGCGGCGCCGAGGCACTGCCGCCCCGGAGGCCGCGCGACACCCCAGCACGCCGCGTGCCGCCCCGTCGGCGGCAGGCCCGCCCGCGGGCTGGCCGCGGGCGCGGGGCAGGCCGCGGGCCTGCCGCGGCGAGGAGCTCCGGGGCGTGGCCGCGGCCGCGAGGGCCGGCCTTCGGCAGGCCTCGCTCTTCGGCGGAGCCCTCGTCGCAGGGCGGCGCCGCCGAGGGGGGTCTCTCGCGCCGGACCTCCCGCCCAGTGCCGCGTGGGCCGATGCCCAGGGGGCTCGGGCGCCTGCGGAGAGGGTGCCATGAGGAGGGCGAGAGCGGGAAGGAGGAGGAGGAGGAGGAGGAGGAGCAGGAGCAGGAGCAGGAGGAGGAGCAGGAGCAGGAGGAGGAGCAGGAGCAGGAGCAGGAGCAGGGACAGGAGGAGCAGGAGGAGCAGGAGGACCAGAGTAAACCCTAGATTCATCAACGATGTTGGAATACACCCTCCCTCCAAGCACTCTCTTCATAGGCACCTACAAGGATTCATTTCCACTGAGGGGCGTCCCCCGCTGGGGGATAACCGCGCGCAACTTTTGAAGCGTACCAAAACACCGTTCTCAGGACTTCAACGCCACGAGTCAACCTGACTGCTGCGTCTTGACGATCTTGAGCCGCACCAGAACATCTGTCCTGAGATTTCAATGCCACGAATCAGCGTTGCCGTTGCGACCTGGCAATCCTGAACCGTTCCAAAATACATTACCAGAAACGTTAATCATGAGAATCAACAAAGCTCTTGCAAATGTATAAAACGAGTGTGCGCGGCGCTAAGGCGAGAGCCTCAATCCGTGAAATTCTTGCAAATGTTCAGAACGAATGCGCGTGTCTCTAAGGCGAGAGCCCTATTGTGAAAACAGTCCGTCCTCGGCCCGTGAATGTTTTACGATGCTTGACGCTTCGCGTAACCCGATCAGCCCATCCAGAGACGATGCCCAGAGGAGTTGCCTCGATCAGGTAAGTGGACAGCACACAGATGAAGGGTCCCTCTTGGAGCGCTCTTGGGACACTCTTGGGTGCTCTTGGGGACGTCTTGGGGCTCTCTTGGGTCTCTCATGGGGCCCTCAAGTCATCTCGGAGCCATCGTGAGGCCTTAGAAGGCCATCGAAAGCAAACAGGCGAAAAGGCAAATATCACTGATGTTCTTTAGGTGCTTGAAGGACTCTTGGGGCATCTGGGGAGTCCCTTAGGGGGTCTCTTGGGAGCCTTTTGGAGGCCTCTTGGGCGCCTCTTGGGGCCTCCTGGGCGCCTCTTGGAGCCCTCTTGAGACGTTCTTGGGAACCTTGGGAACGCTCTTGGGGCCATCTTGAAGGAGATCCATCAAAAAAGATGGGAGCTCTAATTACGACCCCCCCTCAGGAGCCCCAACAATCGCTTCTTGGGCCCCTCTTGGGGCGCTCTTGGGCGCTCTTTGGGCCGTCTCGGGGTTCTCTTGGCCCTCTGTTGGGGCCCTCACAGGCCCTCTTGGAATTGTCTTGAGGCGTCGGAAGGCCATCAGATGCGAAAAGGCGAGAAGGCAAAATTCTTTGAGTTCCCGTAGGTTTTGGAAGGATGTTGGCCTCTTGGCGGCCTCATGGGGAGGCTCCGTGGCCACCTGGGGCCGTTTTGAACCGTTCTTGTGGCTTCTTGGGGCATCCGGGGGACCATCTTGGGGAATATTGGGCGATCTTGAGCCATCTTGGAGGTCATCTTGGGCTCTCTGAGGCCCTCTTCGAGCCGTTTTGAGCGAACTAGTACCATCTGGCACCTCGAGGGGCGCCCCCCCGCAGGTCCAGAGGAAGGGGTAGGGGGAGGGGTCAAGACACCCTCCTAGGTAGCAAGCCGTCTAGCTCACCTCACCCGCCCTCCTAACATGTTGAGCGGTCGTCTTTCGATTGGCAACCACTGGAAGCCAAAACCGAGCCAATGTGCGCGACGCTGGGGCGAGGTGCGCCACGCGTGCCAGGCGCGCCACGCGCGCCAGGCACCCCTGGGGCCCGAGCGTGCCAGGCACGCCTGGTGCGCCAGATGCGCCACGTGCCGCATGCTCCAGCTGCGCCAGATGCGCCACGTTCGGGACACGTGCAGAGTGTGTCAGGTGCGCCTGCGCACGTGACAGCACACATCGGGAAACATGTCGCCCCCCCCACACCATCCATGTCGAAAACCAATACCCATCATTGTGTCTGGTGGGCCTGCGCACAGCAGGCCATAATTACGCCACCCCTTGGCAGTGATCGCGTGTGGCCGCGCATGATCCATATTGTAGTGGCCTTCG